AAGAAATTAGAAATTGTTTACTATTCAATGAACAATCATTTAATACAATTTCATAATCCATTGATAAACAAGATACAACAAAATAATCAAAATGATAATGAATATGAGTATTATAAGAAACAAATAAATATAAGAATAAGAAAATAAGAATATCAAAGATATAATTATTAAAGAAATAAAGAAGAATGAAATACAAATATACGAAATATAAATAATATAGAAATAGAGAATATGATATAATAAAAAATAAAGAAGAAAGAAGATAATAAATATATAGAAATAAATATAATTGAAATAGAAAATATAAAGAAATAAGAAAGTTCAAAAAGAATATAATTAAAAGATAAATAAACAAGAAATAAAATAATAAGAGTAATAGATATACATATTAAAACATTAAATAAAATATATAGAATACAACAAGAAGAAGATATACAAAAAGAAATAATAGAAAATAATCAAATGAAAAGATTAATAGAATAAAATAAGAAATAAACATAAATAAAATATAAAGAAATAATGAATCAAATATAAAAAGATGATAAAGAAATAAATCAAAAGAAGAAATAATAAGAAAATAACATATTATAAAAATAAAGAAGAATAAATAATCAGAAAGAATTTGAATCAAATTATAGAAAAAGAAGATAATAAAGAATCAAATTAAATCAAAAGAAATAAAATATAATAAATAATATACAATGATATATTTATTACACATTATAAATTAACAAATAAGTATAAAATAATAATAATAGATGAAATGTATTATAATCAATTTACAATACAAATATATTTACTTAATTTATTTAATAAAATAGAAAATATATAATATAAATATATAATATAAATGATAATAATATATCAAAAGAATATAATAATAAATTAAATAAATAAAAAGATTTTTAGAAAGAAATAAAAGAATAAGAATAAATAGAAATGAAGAAATAAAAGAATATAAAAGAGATAATATATAAATTAATAATAAAGAAATAATATAAAAACAGTAATATAAAACCATCTTAAACAATATAAATCAAATATATTTGAATTATTAAATAATCTAAATGAATATGAATTATTTTATTTATTAATTTTCTTTTATATACTAAAGATTTTAATAATATCAAAAGAAAGATGGTAATCAAAATATTAAATAAATAAATTATATTAGAGAATGTTAATATTATGAATTATTTGATTTTTATTCAACTTGATTATATTTTAAAAATTAAGATATTTATATTACTTCTATCATTTTAATGAAAATATAAAGATGAAATAATATATTCATATTATTTATTCATTTTTAAGAAATGAGAAATAATATAATAAATAAAGAATATAAATAAATAATATTGTTATAATAAATTAACAAATCTAATTTATCATTCTTAATGAATAAACTAAATATCTCAATGTTTATTATTTATTATTTATTTAATATTTTTATAATTGTTTTAATTTAATTCATTTTTAATAAATAAAAGATAAAAAGTAATCAAAATAGTTAGAGTTCTACTATTATATAATTAATATATTGTATAATTTAAAGAATGATAAATATAAATTATGTTATTTATTTTGTTTTGATGATTATCATTATTATATTTGTTTAAATTATATTTAATTTTATAATTATTTTTATTTGATTAAGTTAATATTTTTCATTCTGATTATTTTATTATTTCATTTTATTTATTTTCTTTTATCTTCATTATATATAATTTTTATATTCTTTTTCATTTTCATGTTTATTTTCTTATAATTATATTGTTTCCTTTTTCTTTAACATTTCTATTATATCATTTCCTTCTTTTATTCTTGTTTCTCTGTTCATTGTTCATTTTGAATTACTTCTTTTTATATTTTGTTTTTATATCATTTTATTACATCAATCGTTCTATTTATGTTCATTCTCATCTTTATTTATTTTATTATCATTCATTAACTTTAACAATTTATAATTAAATATTCAGAATTTAACAAAATATTAATTATAACCAAATTTATTTGTTTATGACAATTGTTTATTAAAATTTACTTTATAATATTATGTTTCTCTTTATATTTAATTATTCTTTGAAATTATTAATTGTTGATACAATTTATTATATTTAATACTATCATTACCATTTATTTGTGTTTATTTATGTTACAAACAATATTCTATTTTAAATCATATTCTTTTTGATTGATTTGATATTGTTAATTTAGATTTTCAATTCTTTAATTCATTTAACATTTTCTATATTTTTCACATATTTTTATTCCTTTCTTTGTTTATTCAAATGTCTTCTATTATATTTAATCATTTATCATTCTTTATTTTATTGTTGTTGATGTTATCATATTGTGTATTTTGTGTTTCTTTATCATTTATTTATCTTTTTCTCTTGTTATTTTGTGTTTGATTTGATTTATCTCTTTCTTCTTATCTCATTGATTTCAATTGAATTATCATTACCTCTTCTTTCTCTTTATTTCTTCTTTCTCTTTCTTTTATTATTAGTTTGTCATTTTCATTATATGATTGTAAATGGATTGTTCTTTTTATTTGTGTTTTCATTTAATTTCCTCTCTTTTTATTTTGTATTGAGAGTAAACAATAATCAATATTTAAAGTATATAATTAATGAAAATGATATGCCATTCATCATTCTTCTTTTCATTGTAGTGATCATTTTAGAAACAAATTAGAATAAAATGATGAAAGTAATTAAAATGAATCAGTAAGAAGGATATAACAACTAAATTACAATATATTTCAAATAATTCAAAGAACTATTATTTCATATTATGGATATTCAAAATTACCAAACATTAAAAGATGATGATTATAATACATTTGTATATTTATTGTATGGTATTATTTAATCATTAATAGTTTGTTGTGTTTGTTTCAAACAATGTAAAATAAATTAAGGAATCAAATAACAATAATTTCATTTGTTTTTATCGTTTTTAATTTTATTGTTTTATTTATTTTTGTGTTTATTGGTTTGTTGTTATTTATTTATTGTGTTATTAATAAACCATTTTAAAATTATTTATTTTTAATTTATTTAAATTATTTTAAACATCTCTTTACCCCCTTTTCATATAAAATATGAAGTGATGAGAAGATGATAAGATGAAATAGAATAAGTATGTTAATCATTATAAAATCATAATAAAATGATAGTTAATGAGAATGAAAGAATATGTTTTCTATCGTCAAATTAATTATCGATAATTATTTTCATTTAAACATATTTCAATTAAATTAAATATGAACAACCCATATTTACTTTATTTTCTTAAACAAACATTTAATGTTAATATTTTAACAATCAAATTTTTTTTTAATTGAGTTTTAAGAAATATTTGTTGTTATTTAATGATAATAAGAAAGGAAATAATAACCCTTTTCATCACAAATTCATACAAATAAATTAAAATAAATTATATAAATTTATTATATTCTAAAAATAAAAGAATAAAAAAAGAAATAAAGAAAAAAATGTAAAATAACTCAAATAAACAAATACAATGTGGTTTTGTTTATTACTTCTATTTATTTCATTTTGTGATGGTGAATATTGTCAAAAAGAGAGTGAGAATAGTATTATGTTTTATGCAAATTATACATGTACCAGTTCCAGTTTAACGTCAAGTGTATTAACAGGAGATTATACTAAATATTCATCAGTTATTATTTCAGTTAATAATAATGGAAGTTTTTATTTTGGTTCAACAAGTAATACATTTAAAGCAAGTAAAGTTATTGTAAGATTAGAAGAAGGAAATAGTAAAAGTTATTATCTCAACTTTAGAAATATTGAAACAAATTTTGAACTTGAATTAATCAAAAATTCTTATTCATTTGAAAAAGTTCAATTTACTTTCTATAATGGAAATAGTCCAACAAGAATAACTGGAGATGTTGATGGGTTGTTAGTTCGTGGAAATGATAATAATTATTATAATTATCATTTGCCTATTCAACGTACTTACTTCAATTCAATTCCTATTAATTTAAAATTTAGTTCTAATAAAGGTATATGGTATTTAATATCATCATATGAAGGAATAATCAATAAAATAACATCAAAATCATCAAATGATAAATATTTCAGTCAGACATGTGGTGGAATGGTTCGTTATTTTAGTTATAAAAATATCGAAATTCATGATATAACAACAGAATGTAATCATCAATTTACAAAAGATGAAGAAGATGATTTTAATTCATTTATTGTTACTACTACTGTATCTTTATCTAATTATAATTATCAAATATCATTATTAACAAATAATTATATTATTAGAAATAATGATGATTCATCAAAGACTCGTGAAGTATATACATATCCTAATCAATGGTTAAAATATGAATCATCAAATCAAGCAATATTCAAAATTTATAGAAAGAAAGAACCATATCAAATAATCAAATTCAGTTTAACACTTGAACAATCAAATGAAGGAACAACATTAATTAAAGAAATAGAAAATAATGATAAATCAATTTCAACAGTAATTATTTCTTCTTCAAAACCTTTATATATTTTAGATGATGTAAAATTTTCAGAAACAACATTAACAACAAAGAAAAGTCAAATAATGATTATTAGAATGAATGGTGTTAGATTTAGTAATGTTGTTAATGATTATCATTGTGATATAATGATTTACAAAGAAGAAACAAAAGAATGTATTCAATGTGAATATGGATATTATTTAAATTCAAATACAGAATGTCAATATGATTCACATTGTAATAAAATAAATAACCAAAATCATTGTATTGAATGTGAATATGGATATTATCTTAATTTAAATACAAAAACATGTGAAGAATTCAAAAATGGATGTAAAATTGGAAATAAAACATATTGTTATCAATGTAAAGAAGGATTTATTAAAGAAAATGGAGAATGTCAAAAAATTGATAATAAATGTAATAAATCAGAAAGAAATTATTGTTTAAAATGTTCAAATGGATATAAAATAGAAAATAATCAATGTAATGGAGATAAAGAAGATCAATGTTATTATGAAGGAAATAAATGTGTATCATGTTCAAATGGATATACATTAAATAATAAAAAATGTTCAAATAAAGAAAAGAATCAAAATGGAAAGAATGAAGAAATATATTGTGAAAATGGAAAATACATTGATAATAATAAATGTATAGAATGTTCAAAATCAGAAATATGTAAAACAAATGATATTGAAATAAAATGTAAATATGAAGAATATTTAGATAATAATAAATGTATAAATAAAACATGTGAAGAAGATATGATAAAAGATCAAAATGGAAAATGTAATAATAATATTTCATATTGTTTAAATAAATCATATGTTAATGGAAAATGTGTTGAATGTTTAAATACATATTCACCTAATTTGAAGGGAGAATGTATTAATACAAAAATAGAATATTGTGAAGAACAAAATACATATGGATGTAAAAGATGTAAAGAAGGATATTATTTAACAAAAGACATGAAATGTTTAAAATGTGATGATAAATGTGAAACATGTTATGGAACATCTACATATTGTATGAGTTGTTCTAATGATAAATATTTAAGAAATGATAAAACATGTCAATCAAATGAAGAATTAAATGGAACATGTTTACAAATATTAGCAGATGGAAGTGGATGTGGAATATGTAAGAATGGATATTATAGAAATGGGAAAGGATGTTCAAAATGTGAGAAAGAATGTTTAACATGTAATCAAAAAGATAAATGTATAAAATGTGGAGAAGGATATTTTATGAGTTCAACAGGAATATGTAAATCAACAACAACAATTAAAGGATGTAAAGGAGAAATAGATAAAGAATATGGATGTAGAGAATGTTTAACAGGATATTATTTAATAAATAAAGAATGTTCAAAATGTGGAAATAAATGTATAACATGTTTAAATGAGAAAGAATGTAATAAATGTGAAGATGAATATATAATAATAAATAAAGAATGTATTCATTATTCAAATATTAATAAATGTAAAGAAACAAAAAATAATAAATGTTCAAAATGTTCATTTTGGTATGGAATCAATGAAGAAGGAACAAAATGTAATAAAGAAATAGTATGGTGGATGATAATGATTATTATCATCATTATACTTATTATCATCATTATAATAATTATAATTATAATAATAATGATTAATTACATTATAAAACGCAAAGAAAAGAAAGAACAAGAGAAAACAACAACAATATTTAAAATTTCACAATCAAATATCAAATTCATAACACTTGGAGATGGAATAATAACAAATAAAAAAGAAATAGAAATAGGAGAAGGAGAAGAAATTGAAGTAAATAAAGAAATCAGAGAATTAATATGTATTGGAAATGAAAAGAAAGAAAAAAAGAAAATACAAATAAGTAGTAAAGAAGAAAATGAAAAATACTCAATTAGAACAAACCCAAATATCATTACAATTGAAGGAGGATATGCATGTGAATTTGAAATATTCATTACAATCAAATGTACTACTAAAATTAAAGAACAAATAATGATAATTAGTAAAACACTTAATAAAACACAAGAAGAAATAATAAA